TACATCTGAGATAGGCTTTAAAGCAAAGTTGGGAGTTGAGGTACATGAGCCAGCCTGCACAGCTGGTTTAAAACCATCCAGCTGACCCTATCCACCTACAAAATGGAGTAGCTGTGCCCCATCTACCTCCTGGAAGCAAAGCCCAGCCAATATTAGATGCTAAACTCTGCCAAGACTTGGCAGACTAACTTGGCTAAGAATGTATCAAGGATGAGCTAACATTTATGGAGTATGGAAAACTCTGTCACTGTTTCTTTACCATTTACTATCATAAATGTAGCCTTTATGTATTTGGCAGCTGGTAAGCTCTCTGCATCTGTGATGCGCCTGGGAATAATATCTGATTGGTCAAGCACTTGCTTATTTTTCCTTCTGGCCACAAGATCCTTGCATCAAATCATCCTGAGTTGGTTGACAATTTATAATAATGTTAAATTATTGTAAAAACAAACTGAAATTGGTGATAGAGAGATGAAAAACATATTGATAATAAATTACAGGATGATGCTGAAGCACCTCCTTACCTTGTGATAACGAGCCACCAGTTTTCCCTCTGGATCAAAGACGACATCCGTATTGTACTGGTAGCGACTGTCACTGGGGCAGCCGGGATCACTGGAGTTACATGGTTTCTTGTCCCCAATGTTTGCAACCACATAGATGGAGTTATTCCTGGCCATGCAGCTGAGTCGTTCCTGCACTGGTGCTGGACCAAATCTAATGTATTTTCAGTGAAAGAATTAAAAACTTCTAGAAGTTTAAGTGCATCAGTAGAAGAGATGCATTCAAAATACTTTTATTGACTGCACATCCCCATATGCAAAAGAAATTGATCAAATCATAGTTTCTGTTCATCTTCTTTGTTCATATCACCATTTTACATTGACAGTGTCTTTTACTTTTAAAAAAATGGTGTCCCTGTGTTCTTCTTTCCTGTACCCTTAACAATGTTATTTTCTGTGTGGATAGAATTCCCAGCTAACATGCACAAGATATGAAAAGCTTCAAAAAACAAAGGGGAGAATAAATCATATACAGACATAAATTTAAAACAACTTAAAAATAAATTTTCTAGCATCTCTAAGCCTTGATTTCAAAAGACAATTTTAGCCTATTTTAATAATCTTCACTCTGTTTTAGGCACCTGTCTGTAAGCCTTTAGCAAAAAGTGGACACAGCATTTACAGAGCTGAGGACTCCTGAAATCTAGCTTTGTAAAGCCTCAGAAAAGAATATAAAAGCTTAGCTTAGACATGAACTTGGTGTCCCCTGCTGACACAGATTAAGAGGAGCTCTATGTAACACAGCAAATTGTGAAAGTGGCTGGATTTCCAGAAGACATTTCTTTCAAATCTAGATAAATCTAGATAAATGTTAAGTTATTGTAAAAACAAGCTGAAATTGGTGATAGAGAGATGAAAAATATATTGATAATAAATTACAGGATGATGTTGAAAAATCTAGATAAATATCTTGTGCAATTTGCTTCATAAATAACTCAGCCACATGAGCTCCATCACTTAGTCTGATCTATGCATCTGATATGATAATAAACTAGCTTATACTTACAGGATTTTCACAAGTGATCTGAATTGATAAAATTTTAAATGTTTTTAAAATAATTATTTTGCCTAAAATTTCCTCATTTTCATCCTTTTGTAAGTTTTAAAGTAAAACTGTCTCAATGCTTTTTATTTGGTATATTCCCATTACCATTTAATTAAGACTTCTTTTTGATGTATCTCATGTCTACAGTACTTGTGATTTTTAACAGATTAAAAAATTGGCAGTTCCTATGCATTTAGTGGGAGCTGCTCATGACTCCATGAGATACTAGTTTGAAACCACATAAATCACTGCAGAAGGAATCACCTTGAGGGGTCAGTGCAGGGAATCCAGTTCACCACTGGAGCAGGAATATCCTCCAGGTACGGGTAGATGGATTCTCTCGTGAATTGCCAGCCATAGATGCCGTCTTCAGGAGTCACAATGATGTGGGCACCCTGTCACAACAAGCTCTGTTAAAAGCTCACCCATCAACATATAACCAGGGGGGTCAGGCAGAGCAGAAAACACTAATTAACAACCCTCATGATACATCTAGTACCTGCTGGGCAGCTTCCTTTATGGCCCCTTCCAAGACATCCATGTTTTTGTTCATCAGGGCCAAAGCATCATCGGGAGAAACAGGCTTGTCAGTGGGATCTGGCAGGATGACCGCGTGCTCGTAGACGGCTGCAATGAAGGTGTCGGAGGCAAGGGCCTGAAGGACTGCGAGTGCGAATACCCCAGCATGCAGGAGAGGCTGGGACGGGAGCATGGCTGTTGCCTCACAGCTCCTGAATCAGGCATGGGAAATACAAAAATAGAAAGAGGAGAAGTAAAGACTAATAAATTTGCTTTGGAAATAATCTCCTGTTGAGTAATCTGAGAAGGTACGATATAGTTCTGCCAACAATCAGAACATTTATTTACAATAAAAAGTCAAAGGAACATTGCTAGGAATGGGATCTTGTTTCCAATAAGAAATGTTTAAAACAAAAGGAGAACAAAAGGCTAACAGAGCTTGCCAGAAGCAATGCTAATCTACAAGGGGCTCCATTAGAAGGAGCACTTGAACATTCCATTTGCACATCCCTATCCAGGCTTTTAAACCCATCTTGGTGCGAGCCCAGACTCCCTTGGTTAGGGCACACTACTACATATAACCTTACTGCACATGGTGCCATCAGTTAAAGCTTCAGCCAGTGCTGAATGCAGACCACCTGCATGAAGTACAGCTGTCATGTTTCAGAGTGCAGGAGACATGCGGTCCTGCCATACTTCTTGCTTTTGGCCAGTGGTTTACTATAGTTGTAGAGGGTGCCTTGAGAGTGTCCTCCTTGCTGGGCTCACACTGCAAACTATCCCTTGAACTATGCTGACCTCTCTGCCTAGAACTAACATACTCACTTGTTTTGTGAGAAAGAATTAAACAACACAGATTTTTTTTCTTACTATTGTCCTTTCAAAAGGAAGTTTTTGCACCAAAAGCAATTTGAAATTACCCTTAGAAAGCAGGTTTGTTTCGTTTTTTTTTTCTCATGGAAGGCAATTTTTAGCACAGTATTTTGTGAATAGAATATTACTACTATAGTTTCAGGTGAGGCCTAGAAAAACCTTAGTTAGAACTCGTGGTATATCTGTGAGGATGAAAAAACATAACCTGGCTCATAATTTACCACTTAGCAGGAAGCCAAAGAAAATATTCTTCATCCTGAAAAAACCTTCCTCTTCACTATGTCATGTCACCCAAAAGACTGATTTTTCCTCCATCAGCACCAAGGCTTCCTCAGGAGAAACCAACACTTCAGCAGTTCTGTGATTCTAAGACTATGTTGTGCTCATAGACAGCTTTGACATAGGTTTGCAGGTGACAGGCTTCCCGAGCAGACAGCACCACAAACATGGTAGAGGTACAAGCTTTAGGAAGCCCCATGTCTGGAGCCTGGAAGTCACCCAAGAGGAGGCTGTGGGCAAACAAAGACTGGGCTTTAAAGGAGGAAGTCTTGCACGAAACCTAGTAATTCTCCAGGGTGGTAGAAAGCCAACAGACACTGGGAAATGTAATCACCCTGCCTGGAAAGTCTCACAATATCAAAGGCAAGAGAGCCACCAGCATTGAGCAATTCTGCCTTACACCCCCGGCAGGAAGTCACTGAGAAGTCGCCACTGTGCTGCAGCTGAAGAAACATATGACTTGACAGATTTACAAAAAGTTCAGGGATAGCATTGCTGCAGTAACACAGCTCAAGGCAAACCTGAGCCACAATAAGAAAACAAGTTCAGGAAATCTTGGCAGAGACAAGCATGGACACATTCCTACCCCAACCTGGCAGTGAGAGGTGCTGGCGTGGTTGCAGGAGGCAGGTGGCCAGGCCCCAGCATGGGCACTACCTGTGCCACCCCAGCTCAGCACAGCACCAGCTCAGAGTTTCAGGGTCTTTGGGGGCTGCTGCACATCTCAGGGTGGTACCAGGCAGGCTGATTGTCTGAGCAAACCCATTAGCACACCCACCACTCAATATCTGAGCTCTGAAGATCTCTGGTGCCCAAAGGTCTCTGTTTGAAGAGCATCATGAATAGGAGCCACAATTTCTAAATTTTGCCTATTGCAACCTGCTTTCTTATGCCTACAGATCACTCCAGAAGAAATCTTAAAGCTAAAGATGCATGTGCACAAAAATCACTTGTATTTGGTTACCCAAGTTTCTTACCTTCTTTGGTTCTGACTCAGGTGTCAGGTACCAAAATGGTTTTTGGCTGCACTGCCCTCGAAGAAGTGTTTATTGCTATCTGTGGCTACGCACAGCCTTGTCTTTATACAGAGTAAGTTGGTATGTGGGTAATGGGTGGACTTGTATAAGATTACTTTCTGTATGCTTGACTCATTTTACACAATAACACATTTCACAATAAGTGTTATGCAATCTTTGTAGCAAAAAGAATTTAGTGCCATGATGGCTTATGCCAGTCTTGTACAGGAAAATACTCAACATACAAATATACCTTAACCAAAAAACAATGGCCTGGAACCAAATCCTGGATTCAAGATACTCACCAGATTCAGGGCTAAGCTATATACTACAAGTGCATGCATTCCCTTATCCAGAGAGACTGGCAAGAGCAGTGAGCAAATCTGAAGAAGCTGCCTCTCAGTTCTGAGAGTGGCCACACAACTCCTGCTAAGATGAGACTTTCCTGGGTGCTTTCCTTAAATCCGGATCCTTTCCCTGGGAGAAAGTTGTGGTATCACCCACTAGGTTCCCAGGGCACAAGTACAGTATCTGCACTGAATTTGTACCCACAGGAAGAGGACCACACTGGATAATCCCTTGCTGGACCACGATCAGTCTGTGGTCAGACAGTAATTGACTCCAACAGTGAATTAGGTTTTAAGACAGTGTGGCTCTAGCAGCAATGATGCTGAGCTTTCATGAGTCAGAGGACATTGTCTGGGGTTTTTGATAAACATGTCATTATGTTTATTAGACATGAGACTATGTTATGTCACATGTGACTATTTATTTACATTTGAAAACAAAAAAGGTCATATGGCACACAGCAGTGGTAATCAATGCTGGAGTTTGGAAAGTATTTGCACTCCCAGTGTCTCACCAGCTCCATAACAGAAATACATGGGATTGAGGACCTTGAGAGCATCATGGTGAGGCAAGTAATGGTGCCAGTGTGGAGAAAAGGAAGGAGAAATAAGATTAATAGAGGTCTCTGACCACTCTTAAGGACACAGCCACAAATCATGCACATGTTTATAAACTCATGTGCTGAAAGAAGGTCACTAGGGTCCAGCAGCAGCAACAAAAACACAGGTCACTGGGGGAGATGAGGAACCAAAGACGTGAACAGTGTCTTCTCACCAGGAGTAGTTGGTCTGAAGTAGAACTCTAAATCCTCTAATCCCTAGAGCAAATTCATCTACAGGGCAGCACTACTCAGTATTAACAGGAAGGAGCAAAGGACAAGGCTTATTTCAAATATGTTGGTGTTATACGACTAGAAAGATATAGAGAAGATGTGAGCGAGGAGCTGCTATGTGATACTTGTTCACTCGTTGCAAACAGTTCCATCACTGAATAGCATCCAGTGCAGACAGGAGGTGTTGTCAAGCTGTTTTTCAGAACTGATAAGCAGAATAACTTGAGGTTTCAATTCCAAGTTTTGGTTCAACGGAGATTTCCAAGAAATGATGATTCATGTCGTGTTCTGACCAAGAAGTGGTGGCAGGTTTTGTTGTAGTAGAGGACGCTGTATCTCATTTGGAAACAGTGTTCAGCTTCAATCACAGAAAGGCTGCTGGCTGTGGGTCTTGTTTCAGATGATCATTTTCATACCACCGTCCAAAAAGCGTCACTGTAACGACTGGTTTTGTCGGTTTTGTCTTATTTATCAAGCGCCCATCATTCAGTACCTGATTGAAAAAGGTAAGAGAAGAATGTGATTAGAGAAGTACCTATATGAACACACTAAGAGCTCAGAAAAATGTGACAAACAGGAAGAAGGAACATCAGACCCTATCTCTTACTGAAACTAGTGATTTCATTAAAAGGTATTTAATAGATCAATTATTCACTATGAGCAAGTTCACTTTGGCTGCTTTGACACAGTTAATTCCATGACTATCCTGCAGAGGACCTGGCATGACACAGCTCCAGGATACTCCATTACCTTGAACTCCCCAGGGGCCAGTTGCACTCCACTGTACAACACTTCTGGAAAGACATAGTTGGTGCCAAATGTACCGCTGAGGGAGAACATCTCAAACTCGGTCTGAGCTGTCTCCACTGGCTGCCCACACGTGTCCAGGTCTGTGCTCTTGCACTTGAGCAGTGTGCATATCTACAGGGAAGAGAAGACAACAACGTATTTAGCAAGACAGAAACACTCTGATAGGAAAGCCTTGTGTCATCAAAGCTGGTATGTGTCAGAGCAGATGAGAGTCACAGGATCTTTTTCATAATCTTTAGGCAACTCCTTCTTAGTTGTACCTTATTTTTCACCCCTTGATCTGACTGGCAGTATTCCAGACCTGCGTTGCCTTAGTAGTTACAAATAGACTGCCTCTGATGTAAGTGCTGCCAGAGCACCTTATTTCACCTTTGAAGCTCAATCTTGTCACTTCCACTAATTCTTCCTATTGCCAGTTCTCTTATTTGAAGGTTCCTTTCCCATGTGTAAGATAAGTTTGTGAATGGAAATCTTAGGCAAATGAAACAGAGTCCTTCTCATGGGTACATTGTGCAAGTATACACCCAGGTCTGCCTACTAGTATTTGCACATGTTGGTAATGACACCTCATTAGATGGCCTGGTAGTCCATGGGAAACCTGAATTTGATATTCCCTATCCAAATCCTGGTGAATACAGGCCAAGGTGATGAAGTTAGCATCTTTTGTTAGAATTTAGTGTTAGCAATTGTAGCACATAGAGGAAAGTAGGAATCAGTGTTTCCCTATTGTCCTTAATTATCCAGCTGATGAATATTTATGGTCTTCAAGAGGAAATATGAAACAGAGTGCTAGCACTCCTATTATTCAGCAGTGATTTGAAGGATGTTGGCTGGTTTTGCTCATAATCATGGAGTTTTTCTATTTTGTCAGATATTGGGGAACAGAAGCATACTTGCAAAAATCAGAAGTATTATTCTTCAATGAAAAATTTTTTGTTGAAATGCAAATAAGCAGAGAAATAAAGAATATGTTCTGAAGAAATGAAAAAATACTGAGGGAAAAAGGAAGAGTAGAAATTCTTGTCTTCTCTAGAACTTTCAGTACTCGTAGAGACTACCTGGCAGCTTCTACAACCACTAAAATAAATTTTACAACCAAGCTCACCAAGAACTGAATTTGTTCAAGCTACCTTCATAAATGCATTAGATGAGCTGTTTTCTGTTTAAGACCTTCCCTCATATCCTGGAGTCTGTACCAGCTGGTATGCAGAGGCTGTGTTGACAGACAGAAGTAACTAAAAAAAAAAGTATAGTCTGGTGGCACAATAACTTAATTATGAAGGCAAAGAATATTTTCAGATATGGCTTTAAGCAAATTCAACCAGGATGTAACTCACTGTCTTCCCAAACATTTGATTAAAAGAGAGGAAGACAGGATATTTCCAGTAAAAGTCATATGCCATTTCAGTAAACTTCATTGTTATGATGTGGGTAATGAAAAAAAATTAACATCTCTGTGACTTTAAACTGTCTCATAAAGATAGCTATAACCAACTGATTTTTAATAGCAACTCTCTGAGGAAGATACAGTGAGGCCCCATCTGGAGTACTGTGTCCAGTTCTGGGCTCCTCAGTTCAAGAAAGACAAGGGGATACTGGAGAGGGTCCAGGGGAGGGTCAAAAAGATGATTAGGGGTCTGGAGCATCTCTTTTATGAGGAGAAACTGCAGGAGCTGGGTCTGTTTAGTCTAGAAAAGACTGAGAGGGGATTTTATCAATGCATATAATATCTCAAAGTGCCAAGAGGATGGTCCCAGACTTTCTTCAGTGGTGCTCAGTGACAGGATGAGGAGCAATGGCTATAAACTAAAACACAAGAAAGTTCACCTCAACATGAGGAAGAAATTCTTTACATTCAGGGTGCCAGAGCACTGGAACAGGCTGCCCAGGATATTCGTGGATTCTCCCTCTCTGGAGACATTCAAAACCCACCCAGATGCATTCCCGTATAACCTGCTCTAGGTGACCCTGCCTTGGCAGGGTGTTGGACTATATGATCTCCAGAGATCTCCATTCAATCCTAACTATTCTGTGATTCTGTGACGCATAGGAGATTCAGAATAATTACTGCAGATAGTCACAGAAGAGGACCTAAATTTAGCCAATATTGCACACCCAAAAAAATAGTGAGTACACTCTGGGAATTTAAAAGAAGCTTAGACACCTCTCCCCTGCCTTTGTTGGTTTTAAAGCTAAGTAGGCTTGGGTGTTTTAGTAACTCCTTTCCATTGCTAACAAAACCAACACCAAGACTCCAACATACAAGAGAATCATTGTCTTTTTCCACCACGGAGCCAAATGTTTCTCCCTGTAAAAAAGCTTCCTAAAGCAAGTAACCCCCTCCAAAGAATTACCTGCAGATAGTACTGTCCTTCAACAACATGAAGCCCATCAAAAGCACCCAGTACGTAAACTTCATCATCTCGTTTCCCTGCCATCTTGTAGCTCAAGTGACAGCAGAGATCTTTTTGGCAGACAGTGAGATTTCCCCCAGGTTTAGTGAGCTCAGTGAAAGTGAACTGGTCATGAAAGATGATTCCTGTGAAATCATGGTTATCTTGAGACAGTCTTTTGACACTCAAAGCATATGAGCTCCAGCTGACAGCAGGTGGGGAGGCAGGAGAAAGACAAGGGTGTGCATCTAGTTCGGCAATGAGGAGGTGACCATCTTCAGTTTTCATATTGTAGGTGTATGTCCTGGCTCCGTCTGGTGCATAAATACCACTCCCTGAGGAGAGTATAACAGTCAGTTCAAGAATTAAAAAAATCATATTGTCCTTTTAAGTGTCCCTATTGCTAGCTCATCAACTATTCCATAAAGATTACAGAAATTTTAGTCTCACTAAAGGTGACCATTAACAACTCAGTACAAAGAGCTCGTGCTTTGGCAAAGAATATCATTTATTCCCCTGGATGAGGTCTGCTCAGTGTAGCCAAAGGCAGAGGATGTTATTTCTGTTCTGTTCTGATTCTATTTATAGCCTCCTCAGTTCTCTTTTCTCCTGTATGCAATTAGTCACTTCGTAATTCCTTTATTCTCATCTGATTGAAGTGAAAGGACCACCTATGACTGAGACAATCCAAAACACAACATAGTCAAGTATCACAGGCCGGTCCTGGTGAAAACATAAGGAGGGAGCAGTTGTCCAGCCCTCTTTAAACTGGCTGAGAACTCCTCCCAGTGTGGGGAATTCACATCTGACCAGTACCAAGCAACCGAGGGAAATCAAAGTAGATCTGTCATACCCATCACTGCCGAAGAGCCGCATAAAACGGACAACAAGCAGAAGCCTCTCAGGCATCTCAAATGAGAAGCCCAAAGATAATACTGTGGTTTCACAGCTCAGTGAGGATACTGGTCTAACTGAAATATACTATCCTATAAACTAAGCTCTAAAAAATCAGTCCTACATTGTAAAGTGAAAATGTAGACTTCTTAGCAGTGTTACTGCAACAGGTCTGAAAGCTTGTTTTTAAAGCTTTTCCATAACCATGTTAAATACGGCTACAAGTAAGTCTTTAATTTGGCCAGAATAAATGTAGCCATGTACAGGATTTACAAGTATATTTACAGTTTGGCATTCAATCATAGACTTAGAAGTGGAGAGGAAAAGAGCCTAAGTGGCAAAATTTCTATTCAGGTATAAGGAACAGTAAGTAGTAAGTAACTTACTAATTGCTTAGAGACATTAGAGAAACATAGGAAAATCCTAAGAAGCTAGGGCAAAGAAAACACTACAAGTTTTGCTGTGTCTTGTATGGCAACAGTAGGGATGGAATCTATCAGGTTTAAAATTTGGTGACTAGACTTCCAGATAAACACATTATATTCCTCTGCAAAATCACCTTGTAGAACAAGACATATAGATTCACGGTTATAAAGATTTTTCGGACAGAGTGAAATTACCTGTCATTGCCAAGCTGGTTCTGTGAGTATTGGCAGCTAACATGTTGACACGCATACCCATAGCCCAGGCAGAGTGAAACTCAACTGCAGTCAGAAATGGCAGGACATTCATCCAAGCCGTCGGGAAGAGTACAGTGTCCACCTGCATCTTGCTCACCAGGACCACTGCAGGCTCATGGAAAAGGATGTCAAAGCAAGTGAAAATGCCGAACTTCCCAAAGGGAGTCTCAAAGGTGACAGCTTCCGGCTCTTTTGGGTAATTAAACTGAGTTTCTATTGTAAAAAGATTATACTGTAGGGGAAGGAAAAAACAGAAATCATTTAGAGGCACTTACTGTGAGATCCTGGAGTCATTCCCTAAAACGTTCAGAAAGACTTGTGAAAATTTTTGACCTGTGTTGGAACCCCTCACATGCAGGAAGTCAGGCTAAAATTGTATGATGATAGTACCCAAAAGACGGATATGGGGAGACACATATTGCCCTGGCATCTAGCTAGGAAAGCAGCTGGCTGTCTTCAGGTCTGCTGCTGTCATCATAAAAATAATCTCTCCACTCTCCCTACCTGGTTTATACTTCTGGTGACCAAAATTGCCACAGAAGAATAATAATAATTTAAGAGGACCAGGGAGGTTCTGGTGCCAAGAGACAGAATTGGTGACCTTGGTGTGGAGATGCCCAGAAGTACTGTAAGTACACAACACCAGCATAAAGCATGAGACAGTACTGGAAGACTGTAGAACAGAGAAGAAAACGAAGGATGGGCTGATGGGGGAAAGGCAGATGATCTCAGCAAACAGAAAAATCCAAGTTTACAAACATTCTTGGTTTCCAACATTTTCCTTTTTCCTTCACATACATGTTTTTTAACAACTCTTTACTACTGTCCAAGTGGTCTGGACAATAAACATGGACACCAAGCCAGAAAAGTGGTCCAAATTTACTGAACTTATAATTCAGCACCTGGGTCATGCTAGGTTGGAATGAGGGGGGGACCAGACTCGCATTATCAGTGTTCCCTTCACCCAGTTTGCTCACAAATAAATATCTTGGCATCATCTCTGAACAATAAGGTGAAACACTGGGCCCAAAGTGCATTAAATAAACAACTGACTTCACTCTAGCCACATTGGCATGATATCTGGCACACAATTCCGAAACAACTTTGATGAACTTGCAGGAAAGAACATAATACTGAAAGAACTTTCATTGGGTGCAAATGTTTCAAAGCCCTTATCTCTTTTAACACCCATTTTAGGTCCATGGTTTTGTCCAAATAATTCCCATTGTACAAAAACAGTGCTGAAACAGCATCAGAAAAAAATTTATAGGAAGGGGCCTGTCTTTCTCAAATCAGAGTACTCATCTATAATGAGATACAGATGAATGTTTTCAAATCCTGGAACATGAAGGGGTAGTCTGGTAAAAACCTGGCACTGAAAACTGAAGCTGCTTAAGCAGCAGGATTTCCAGTAGTAGGAATTTAATGATCTGCGGAAGTCAACCAAAATCATATGCCACTAAATTGCACCAGAGCAATCATTTTTCATACCAGTCTGTTTTGAGAAACATGACAGGAAATGCAAATTTGGCATCAATACTTCATAGCAAGAGAGATATTCTTTTAAATTATAAACAGAAGCAGAACTCTGACATGGGACAATGACTGGCATCTAATTCTCTTTCCAAATGAGACATTTTGGAAGTAGTGGAAAATTAGTTCCTGCCTTTCCAAGGCCACTTTACCTTGTGGTAACGAGCCACCAGTTTCCCCTCTGGATCAAAGACGACATCCGTATTGTACTGGTAGCGACCGTCACTGGGGCAGCCGGGATCACTGGAGTTACATGGTTTCTTGTCGCCAATGTTTGCAACCACATAGATGGAGTTATTCCTGGCCATGCAGCTGAGTCGTTCCTGCACTGGTGCTGGACCAAATCTAATGTATTTTAGGGAAGGAAAAAAAAACATTAACAAAACCTGTGCTATCAGTTATGTCTATCACTGGAGTGCTTGAGGGTACACCAGCTGCACCTTCAACCCTGTAGCCATGGCAAGGCAGGCAGATACACAGAGTTGCTGCAGTGCTGCCTCAGATTGCCTCCTGCACCTTGGGGTAGGTCCTGGACCCTTCCCATTGGCGTACACAGGGACATGTCTGCCAGTCACCTTCAGCACCTGGAATGTGCTCTGCAGTAAGCAGATAATTTTCGGGTTGGGAAAGGCTAGAAGAGGACTCTTTTCCAGAGGAAGACACTAACTTGATGTCACACTGGAAAATATTTTAGCATCTGGCATAGTGACACCTGAGGACCATAGCTCTGGGCCCTTAGCATACTAAGAGAGTTGAGCTGTGGAATAGTGCAAAGGAAAGGGTCAAGGCAATTCACCTCCTCCCATGGGCAGGAGCACTTAGACCTCTAGCCATGGCATGAAGAGCAGTGGGTTATTAATTTAAAGATGTGACAGGCCATGTGCCAGAAGCTGGTACCACATCTGAAGCACTCATACTAGGCCATAAAGAGAGCAGCCATCCCCCTCTGCAATGTGGCAATGCATATGGCTTTGCAAGGTGTGCACGGGCCACACAAGGAGGACCATCATGCAAGATACACATATAGCAGCAAGGAATGAGGTATGCCAGACGGTGATGGCAGGTGTTATATCACCAAAAGCTGCTAATGAAACCCCTGATTTAGAACAGTGAGATCACCTCTGCAAAAACTGTGTGAAGAACTGGAATAAAGACTTGCTTAGACACACTGCCACCCCACACTCCACAAAGACATTAAGCTTTTGGAAAGCGTCTAAAGGAGGAAAACAGTGATGGTAAAGGGCCTTGAGGGGAAGCTGTATGAGGAGTGGCTGAGCTCACTTGACTTGTTCAGCCAGGAGGAGACTGAGCGGAAACCTCATCGCAGTCTACAACGTCCTCATGAGGGGAAGAGGAGGGGCAGACACAGATCTCTTCTCTCTGGTGACCAGTGAGAGAACACAAGGGAATGGTCTGCAGTTGTGTCAGAGGAGGTTTAGGTTGGATATTAGAAAAAGGTTCTTCACGGAGAGGGTGATTGGGTGGTGAAACAGGCTCTCCAGGGAAGTGATCACAGCACCAAGCCTGACAGAGTTCAAGAAGCATTTGGACAATACTCTTGGGCACACAGTGTGTCTCTTGGGGATGGTCCTGCGCAGGGCCAGGAATTGAAATTGATGATCTTTGTGGGTCCCTTCCAACTTGGCATTTTCTGTGATTCTGTGATTCACTGAAAGGCTGTATATTTTAGTTACTTATATCGCAGTAAAAAGTTGCACATCCTGCACTGTTCCCCATTATGACACTTCTCAGAACCATTGAAGAATTATATCCTTACAGATGTAACAACAAGCTCCTCCTCATCAAGAAGGTACAGAAAACTGTGGTGAAGAAGGCAGACCATGGTTGTAGTTCCACAGCTGAGCACTTCAGTGTAAGCGGTAAGACTCTGAAGTCCAGCACTCAACTACAGGTTAGTTTGTCACTGCTGGAATATGCTGCTTGAATGACAGATCATGTTCTACATCACAGAGACTCTAGCAATTCAGACTTTATCTTACCTTAATTGTGGAAAACTACGATTAGAAGTTTCTGGGTTTGTATCACTCTGAGGTTTGAACTTTGACTACTGATCTCATCACCTCTATTATTAGCTGCTCAGAAACTAGTTCTTAGCTATCCAGAAAAATGGTGTGTGTGCATTTTTTGAACATGGTATTTGTAAAAGACAAACAAAAAATGAAGAAAACCCAGTGTTAATAACTTACAGTCAGTTCTATTCAAAATAATGTGAAAAAATTGAAAGTAGAATGAGAAGCAGCATATTCTGGCATCAAAGCTTTTCCAAAAAGAAGACATTTCCTCTACTTTTCATAACTCAAATTCTGTATGTTGTTTGAATTTCTCCTTGAAATGCCTAATTAAAAAAAAAAAAAGTTTTTAATGTTTCCCTCACCAATTAGTCATTGACACGCTATATATTTTATCATGTAACTTACCTTCAAACTCAAGTTTAATTGAAACTTATGTCAAAAACATTAGCAGTTCCTATGCATTTAGTGGGAGCTGCTCATGACTCCATGAGATACTAGTTTGAAACCACATAAATCACTGCAGAAGGAATCACCTTGAGGGGTCAGTGCAGGGAATCCAGTTCACCACTGGAGCAGGAATATCCTCCAGGTACGGGTAGATGGATTCTCTCGTGAATTGCCAGCCATAGATGCCATCTTCAGGAGTCACAATGATGTGGGCACCCTGTCACAACAAGCTCTGTTAAAAGCTCACCCATCAACATATAACCAGGGGGGTCAGGCAGAGCAGAAAACACTAATTAACAACCCTCATGATACAACTAGTACCTGCTGGGCAGCTTCCTTTATGGCCCCTTCCAAGACATCCATGTTTTTGTTCATCAGGGCCAAAGCATCATCGGGAGAAACAGGCTTGTCAGTGGGATCTGGCAGGATGACCGCGTGCTCGTAGACGGCTGCAATGAAGGTGTCGGAGGCAAGGGCCTGAAGGACTGCGAGTGCGAATACCCCAGCATGCAGGAGAGGCTGGGAAGGGAGCATGGCTGGTGCCTTGCAGCTCCCAGAGTACTCTGACTCATGGAAAACAGTGCAAAAGGAACATGCATAGAAAAGAAAAGAGGGACAAAGTTCAACTTTGAAAGAGGGAGTAACTGCTGGTCTGTTAAAACATTATCTTGGAACCAAGCGTGACATACAGGAAGGTATAACAGCACACACTAAGGATGTTGCAACTGAACATAACTAAAATACTGGACAATGCCAAGACTAATTGTGCCAATAAAAAAGTAAGTCATTAAAAACATGTCTAGAACTAACAGTCCAATTTTTTTTGTATACTTTTCTCTGTCACTGATTCAGTAGACTTCTGCTATCTCTGTTGGCTCACTCTTCACCCCAGTGAAAGGTGGATGTGTCACTCTGCCGGGACAAGGGGGTTTCCGTAGTAAAGTGGGGCGGAGGCATCCCTGTTTGCCTCCATCTGCAGACTGCCTGCAGGGCTGGGAGCTCACCCAGGAACAAGGAACTAACACAAGTTAACAAACAAACACACTGAATAAACTTAACAAAACTGCAGTAGTCCAAGCTATATGTTGCTGTGACAACGTAAGGGGAAACTTATCTAGAAGTCTGTCTGCTTTCCACACCTCTATCCTCTCAATCCACTCTTCCTGTACCGTACCCGCCCCCATCTCTGCTCCTGCTTGATGATGACGGTTACCTGAGAACTTCTGTGAAACAGGAGGCAATTTGGTGCTAAATCGGCTTAGATATAGAGGGAGTCTGTCTTCAGACTGGTCCTGCTTCTTTTCTTGTGCTAAGACAGAGTGTGTGGAAGACTACTGTGCATTCGAAGGGTTAATCTTGCTGTGGAGAAGCCTGTGTGAAACGTCACACCTGCAACCATGCAATCACTACACAGCAGTGAGTACATGTGGGCAGGATGAGGAAATCAGAAGCAGTTTATTTTTAGCAACAGCACATAGTCATTTTACTTAGCTGTAACAGGACACCATATCCTAGGGCACAGATATAAACTTAAAGATACAGTACTTGCCTTCCACAAATAAGTAGAGTTACATTATTTCTACTATATGAATTGTAGAGGATTCTAATTTGATACTTTTACAGACAAAAATCTTGGTTTTTAAACATTCATTTTGTTAAAAAAACAATATATCTTGCACCCTGGAAGTCTGGGTTTTTTTATTATGTTGGTCAGAATAAACGTAAACAATGTTTTTAATTCCGAACAAACCTGCAGAACAAACAACAGAATTAGCCAGACATAGAAACCTTAGCAGCACCACACAAAGTAATCCAGTCCACTTGCCTAAAAAGTACAGTCTGCAGGGCCTGCACCCTCACACATGCCAGTGCATTCCATCTATTCAAGTTGTTCACTGCCCCTTACCAACACCTGCTGGCACAGTCTTGACTCTCTCTCACACCAGCATGAGCAACCATTTAATGGGAACACAGATATACTCTTGAAAAAATGATAATTTTTGAAACACACCCACTTGCCTGCTTGGAAAAGGTTATCAACAAGTTTTGTGGAAAGGAAATTTTCCACACCCTAAAAATGTGGCCAGAAAGATCCAAAGTAGAGTCCTCTAGTTGTGAGTTAGGGCACAGTGTGATAACACATTACATCGTGTGCTGACTTGAATAATTGTTTTTTGAATCAATGGTGATTTGAGGCTTGTTTTCTTTTTCAAATTAAATGAGAACCTTCAGATGTTCTGGTTTAGAACAGTGTATGTCCAGAGATGGGACAGAACAGTATTGTGGAAATGGCTTCTGTTACCCTATCAAAAATTTCAAATAATTAAAAATTGGTTTTTGTTGGGCCACAACCCACTCTTATGTGCCTAAATCCTACACCATTAAAGTCAGAGAAATTTATCTTCTATTGTCCCCAGTGCCTATCCCAAGCCCATGACAACCAAAGCGACTACATAAAAACACAAACACAACCGTCCAGCAGAGTAATTTATTTTTGCTGCAAAATCAAGTCAATAAATCAATGTGCAATGACTATACTGTTAGATAAGGGAACTTCAGAAATAGAATGCCATTATAATTATGAGTATTAGTATTATTTAACATTAATTAACATTATGATTAATTAGCATTACAGAAAAAGGAGATTAAATATTTAAGGATCTGTAGTGAAATCATGGTGAAAGCAAGTGCATGGGACAGGTAAGCAGTATTCACTAATTATATGTGTGCAAAATTTTATTCTAACGTTTACCAGAATGTTTTGAAACTAATGTAAGCCTTCACAGACTACAATTGTAACCTAATGTTTTTTGCAATCAATGGAAAGTAGACCAACCTGTGATGTTTCAAGTATTGTAAGTGACAAAATTAGTGTGCTGATTACACACGATTTGAGTGGCTGAAGCTATACATTCTTCCTTGAGTTTAATTGCATTAGAAATCACTAATTCTGACTAAAATAAGTGGTAACACTGTCAAACCAAAAAGTTCTGTATGTAAAAGATATTACCAAAATTCACATACTTATTCAAGTGCTTTACATAAATACAGAAATCTTTAATGCCCAGAGGAAAACCTATCCATAAGGAATAAGAGTTGTGTGACACTGGGTTATCAACAACAGAACTAACTGAATGGTTCGGATCTGCTTTTATTTGGACGGTAAAGTTTAGAGCTACGTTGTAGCAGGAAGTTTCTCTCAATTCTGCAAGCACATGCACACAAAATTTGTGCTTGACGTCTAGCATCTGCTTGGGAAAAATAATGAAAACAAAGCCTGCAAAGAAAACGTGACACAACGTCTCCAGCCCAGAGGTACTATTTACAGGACTCACAAGAACATTTCTCAGAGTCAGGTTTCCACCTAGTGGAGAAAACAAAGTTTGGGCTTTCACGTGACCAAAACAATGACAAACACCAGGGTCAGACGATGAAGAACAATACTCATAAACTCTCAGGACTCATTATTTAACAAATAACTAAAAGTGTTATAGTCAACTTAAGCATTTCTGAGTTCTGACATAGCACATTTTTAAATCCTTTATATCTTTACAAGTACTCCTGTCCTAATCCTGTTGACATGTGTGTATGCCTGCTGATAGGAATTTCTACTTGGGTCAACTGCACTACACAGATATAAATATTGCCCATGTGAACAAGACCAATTAGAGCAATATCACATTACCTATCATACCTAAAGTGGAGTTGTGCGTATTCGCTGAAGAAAGTTAATGTCTGTTCCCATGGCCCACGCTGAGTGAAACTGGACTGCTGACAACAGTGGAAGAGTGTTAATCCGAGCAGCTGGGAACAGAATGGTGTCAACCTGAACTCTGCTTGCCATGACCACAGCTGGGTCATGATAGAGTATGCCTGTGCAAGCGAAAATGCCAAAGTAGCCAAAGGATGTATTGAAAGTCACAAATCCTGGACCCTTAGGGTAATTAAACTGTTTCTCTGTCATAAAAATGTTGTACTGTTCACGGAAAAGAGAATGGAGGAAACAAAATATTAGAAAAGAAATCCAAACATTTAAGTTAAAAAACATTGAATACTCACTCACTGAATTCATTTGTGAACATGCTATACCTCAGCTTCAAAGAGGAGAATCATACCACTGCAAGAGAAGTCAAGCACAAATAACTGTGGTTCTGATTTATACCAGTGTAGGGGATTTGTATTTAGTTAGCAAGAGTTTATTTAGGACATTAATGTTTAAATATCTTATGTGTCACTTCCTACTGAGATGCAGTAAAAACAGAGGGCTTATTGAGCTCTAATTAATTCCATTTAACTACTTGCTATTATATTCAGAATAGCAGGAACAAAGACATTGTAAAGCAGTGGCTTCCCTCTGACACTTGCTCTATAATGACACTATGTAGAAATATATTTAAGCCTGAGAAGCAGCTTCTGTTTCTCATCTTTAATCACCTGAGAATCATAATCGCTTCCTGAACATTGTAAAATCCTCTCATCTTGTGATAACAAGCCATCAGGTTTCCCTTCTGAGTCAAAGATAATATTGGTATTGTACTGATAGTGGCCATCACTTGATCACCTTGGATCACTGGAATTGCATGGTTTCCTGTCTCCCATATTTGCAACCACACAGATGCAGTTATTCCTTGCCATACAGCTCAGTCTTTCCAGCACGAGTGAGGAAGCAAACCTAATCAGTAGGGAAGGAAGAAAAAAGTAAACGATGAAAACTATTCAATCCATAAAAATTCCAACACTAAGATTACAGATCACGAGAGTGATAGGTCTAGGTTAGCTATATCTAATCGGAGACTGTTATTTTCTGTTATATAGAATCATAGAATCAGCTGGGTTGGAAGGTACCTTCGAGATCATCAAGTCCAACCTTTGATCCACTACCGCTGCAGTTACTAGACCATGGCACTAAGTGCCACATCCAGTCTCTTTTTAAAAATCTCCAGGGACAGAGAATCCACTACTTCCCTGGGCAGCCCATTGCAATGTCTGACCACCCTCTCTGTAAAGAAATTCTTTCTAATATTTAACCTAAACCTCCCCTGGCACAACTTGAGACCATGCCCTCTTGTCTTACTGATAGTTGCTTGGGAAAAGAGACCAACCCCTACCTGGCTACAACCTCCTTTCAGGGAGTTGTAGAGAGTGATGAGGTCTCCCCTGAGCCTCCTCTTCTCCAGGCTGAACAGCCCCAGCTCCTTCAGCCTCTCCTCATAGGACTTGTGCTTGAGTCCCTTCACCAGCCTAGTTGCCCTCCTTGTGACCTGCTCCAGCACCTCAATGTCCTTCCTGAACTGAGGGGCCCACAACTGGACCCAGTACTCCAGGTGTGGCCTCACCAGCGCTGAGTACAGGGGAAGAATCACTTCCTTGGACCTGCTGGCCACACTGTTCCTGATACAGGTCAGGATGCCATTGGCCTTCTTGGCCACCTGGGCACACTGCTGGCTCATGTTCAGCTTCCTGTCAATCCAATTTGACAGAAGGCAGCAGATTTGTGCTTCAAAGTGTAGCATGCTGAAACTCTTGCATCACCTCACATTAACTGAGGAACACAAGAGCTTCCTTGCAGTGAAAGCAAATCTTTGCACCTTCAAGTCTCCCTTCTGCTGCCGGCATGTGGCACAGCATCAATATTACACCAACATATGGGCTAATCTCAGCCATTCTGCTGCAGCTGTGCATTTGGCTGATGTGCTGAGGTAGCTTCTGATTTGTTTCTTCTATGGTATGTATTATTACTTGCCTATTGCAGCTTCAAAAAATGGAGCAATTTATTAAGAAAAATAACAGAATAAAAAGGCTACCAAATCATGATTCAAAAATGTAAGTTTGGAATTGTGCAGTATATTCTTTCAGTTGGAGCTGTTATTTTATTCAGAAATATTCCTAATATTTTCATAACGTAAACATTTTCTACAACATGCATAGAATAACTTACTGAAATGTAGATTCCGTAAGTTTCTTCTTTTAAATAAATCTCAACCTTTCTGGTGTACAAATAAAGAGAGTTACAGCGAAGAAAAATGACAAGAGAAAAACTACAAAGAAATTTGTCTGAAGCTATTTATGGTAACTACATGGTGACTAACCTGGCTTCATTTCACAGCAGTTGCTCCAAGACACTTAAAACTATAAATCACGGCTCCTAAAGGTAGCCATCTTTCCTGTCACTGTTCCTCCATTTATAACAGGGACAATACCTTCCAGGATCAGCACATGGAATCCAGTCCACCTGTGAGTCTGGGATATCCTCAAGACAAGGGTATATTGTTTCCCTTGTGAAGACCCAGCCACAAATGCCATCTTCAAGAGTCACAATGATATGGGCACCCTGGTACCAACATACAAACCACCAAAAACACTATTAAGATAGGAAAAGACAGTCAGTGTTTACTCAAACAAATGTCTCTAATGAGATCATAATAGCTGTCTGGCTGCTTCTTTGATGGCCACTTCCAAAATTGCCATATTTTTCTCCATCAGCATCAAGAGTTCCTCAGGAGAAACTGGCACTTCAGTGTCCTCTGTTGTGCTCCCAGACTGCTGCAACACAGGTTCCTAGGGCACAGGCCTCAAGAGTAGATAGCACCAAAAGCCTGGCAAAGGGCTTTAGGAAGGCCCATGTCTGGAGCCTGGAAATCATCCAAGAGGAGGCCACAGGCAGGCAAAAGCAGAGGGCTTTAAAAAGAGGAAGTCTTGCACAATATCTGGAAGTTTCCCAGGGTGACAGAAAGCTGACACCAGGAGATGCAACCACCCTGCCTGGAAAAACTCACAGCATCAAAGGCAAGAGAGCTACCAGCATGGAGCAATTCTGCCTTACACCACCACAGAGAAGTCACCACTGCGCTGCAGCCGAAGAAATATCATCTGCCAGATCTTTGAATGAGTCAGGTGTGGCATTGCTGCAGTAACACAGCTCAAGGCAAGCCTAGGTCACCGCAGGAAAACAGTGGGAAATCTCAGCAGAGAGCAGCACGCATACTTTCCTGTAGAAACTGAAGGGCACAGGGGGCAGGCAGGGCTGCGAGAGGCAAGCAGATAACTCCAAGCTCAGCGCCACCACATAGGCACTACCTGTGCCACTCCTGCTCAGGGCTGCTCTGGTCTAGCTGGTTGTAGTTTGGCTATACCTGGCAGAGTTCCCGCTCATCACAGCTTCACAGCTTGTACAACTGTGTGGGTAATGACAGGTGGGTATTTAGACCTGCCACTGAATGAGACAAGCACAGCACTAGTCAGAGAGTGGCTTAGCTTCCTATAGAAGACCTGACTGCCCTACTTTAACTATTGTTCCAGGACCTTTGGGTAATCATAGTAAGAGAACATGCTTATGAATTATTTCACAAGGCAAAAAACTTGGAAATCAGGATTCCCTTTCATTTTTCTTTTGTCTCCATTGTGCCCATGAAAGAATGAATAGGGGAGAAGATGTGTTGCCAGGAAGTTAGAGGAATTAGTTAAGCCTGCCTAGTTTCTATGGGTGGTCTGGTGAAGCTTTCACACGCAGCAGGACAACTCATTATTTTCAATGACATTTGTGCTTTTTCTGGTAATTCTGGGCACCCTGAAGTCCTAACAGTACACATGAGGTAAGTGAACAAGTCATTGCACAAAACAAGCTAATTAAGTCTCCTGTCTATAGATCTGTATCTCGTGCCCCTAGTGCCTAACTCTAGTTCTCTCAGCTCCTTCTCACCTGGCTTATCATCAGCACTGGCATGGTCAGCACTTCATAAAAACTTGAGGTGTACACTCCTCATTTCCGTAAAGTCTAACACCTGATACAAAAACGAAAGAAAGATATTGACAGGATGTTCCTAGGGGAAGCCTGCCCTTTCATACCCTGATGTTTCACAGCTGGCTACCAGAGCAGTTGTTCTTGCTAGTCCCAAAGAGCGCTGGCAGAGAAAGAATTATTTCTAATGTAAAATCCAGTAACTACTTACAAGAGAAACTGATTGTAAATTGCAAGACAGACCATTTTTCTTATTCATGGAAAAAGGGTACCACAGAGAATCCCTTCCAGTGAGTTATGAGCTCAAGGACGAATTAAAAGACTTTTGCCACAACCAAAGTCAAAAAGCCTAGTGAGAGTTTACCAGGTACGTCCTTGTCTCAGTTCCCCTTGAGTTTCTTTTGCCGAGCATCTGGAGGAGGTGAAGATGTTTTTTTTCCCTTAGTAGTCCTAGACTCTTGATAGATTTGCTGTTGCAGAAGCAATTAGTACAAACATTCCAGGTAGGATTTATTAGCAATATAAATCTCACACACACCAAGCTGAGTCTTCATATATAATACAAACATACATATATCTGTGCATGTGTGTATACACACACATACAGAAGATGCCAAATCTCCTCCAGGATTGAAGATCAGTTGGTTCTGTGTAGACATGGCAACTCTTCTCTTCATTACTTTTGCCTCCTATCTTCAGGCACTCTCAAGATAATACACATACTGGTAGACAAAAAGTCTTTTGGACTTTAGTTTTCTAAGAAAATTTACAAAACTTAGGAAAAAAGTTGCTTTATTGAAAATAATATTGTGCTTTGTAATGCTTTGTAATTTCAAATTCTGTCTCAATGTTTTATGTTATCAGTTACAGTATTACAAGATAATGAACTTCCCTTAAAAAGGTACAGAAAATCATGGTAGCAAAATAGGACCTTTATCGAAGAATAATGCACAGCACACACAAGTATAGAAATCAGACATTTGAAAACATGTCTCTTCACATACAGCAGTGCACTGTACATGGAACACAATTAAACAGGCTGACAGCTGAGGGTTATTCATCACTTATGAGAACTTCCAAAAGAAAGGCAGTCAGTGTTTAGTGTTTCAAAACAGTAATGTAGCTACAAATAAACCACAACTGGTTGTTCAGTAAGGGATCATGTCACAGCTCCAGAATAATGAAGCACTCTTAAGTCCAGTCACCTCAATACTAGGTTAAACCACAATAGTAAACAGAGAATTAAAAGTGTGTCTGGTTATGTTTCACTGCCCATGAGATGAGTTCTTTCTTCATTATTACCAGGAGAATTTTGCAGGCTGGAACTGGAACTGTTTGCATAAGGAAAAGAACAGGAGAGAAAACACAGGTTGCATATTCTCTAGACACTTCTATGCAATATCACCATTAAAAGCAAAAAAGCATATTACATGCAAAGAGCTATGTGGATCACTGGATTTGATTCCCTGCTATTGCACCCAACCATGTACTATTCATTCATACTATCATCTAATGGTTTGTACTGAAAGTGACGTTTAAAGGTCAGCTAGTCCAACCATCCTGCTATGGGCAGTAATATCTTCAACTAGATCAGGTTGCTCAGAGCCATGTCCAACTTGGTCTTGAATGTTTCCAGGGATGAGGCATCTACCACCTCTCTGGACAACCTGGTTCAGCGTTTTACTACCCTCATTGTAAAAATTTTTTCCTCATACCTAGTCTGCATCTACTTTCTTTAAGTTTAAAACCATTTGTCCTATCACTACAGGCTCTACTAAAAAGTTTGTCCCCATCTTTCTTGTAAGCTCCCTTTAAGTACTGAAAGGCTGCAATATGTTCTCCCCAGAGCTCCTTCTTTTGCAGGTTGAACAACTCCCTCAGCCTTTCCTCACAGAAGAGATGTTCCAGCCCTTTGATCCTTTTTCTGGCTCTCCTCCGGACCTGCTACAACAGGTCCATGTCTTTCCCATGCTGAGGGCCCCAGAGCTGGATGCAGTACTCTATGTGGGGTCTCAGAAAAGCAGAGTGGAGGGGAAAAATCACCCTTGTGATTGTCCAGGTCCCTCTGGATGGCACCCCATCCTTCAGGTATGTCAACTGCAGCACTCAGCTGGGAGTCACCTGAAAATCTGCTAAAGGTGCACGCAATCATATTATCTACGTTGTCGTTTAAGATACTAAATAGCACTGGTCCCAAGGCAGACCCCTGAGGGACACCACTCTTCACTGATCTCCACCAGGACACTGAGCCACTGACCACTATTCTCTGCACATGACCATCCAACCAATTCCAGCTCACAGACACCCTTCTGGAGGAAACATCAGTAGGGTTTGCTCATTAATGTCATGGTCCTGCTGCTTGTATAGAATAGGCATTGCCCTGTTTACGGGTCTGTTTAGGTCAGCACGGATTTAAGAAACCATACAGACAAGTAATTTAAGCAGTATTTTTACTACTCATCATTCATTATCAGGTTGGTAGTGAGGAAAAAATGGAAGCACAGCTTTCAAAGATTTGCTTTATATGACTGCAAGTAAAATAAAGAATAAATATCTCAGCATACCTTTTCCTTGTTGCCTCAATGATATAGAATATTCCAGTAACAAGGCCCTTTGAGGAAACAGTCATAATTGTAACAATAATAACAACCTTATCCAATAGCTTGTAACTGCAATAGATATAAAACAAAAAATGTGTTACTACTTACACTTAACAGTGCCCATCCTCCCTGGATGGCTGCGGCCCATTCAAAACCCAGCTTTTCATTTAGAAATCCTCCCAGAATGGGACCTGCAAATGCTCTGTAACAAATAAAAATCAGGTATTTGCATCCCAAACAAAAAAGATAACATCTCATATTCTCAGAGAACTGTATTATTGTGTTTTGTGGCATTTATAGATTCTCTCACTTTTGTCAACAAAGAAATTGTCTTCCACAGACCTAACTTCCCTATTACCCACAGTAAGTATTAATTCTTTGTTTTCCAAGGCCCCAGTAAATCTGTCTAGTCACCTCCTCAGCTGGAAATAGGATCCACATCAGAAAGTTGAATGCAGTCTTCTTCAGTAGAGAGAACCCATTGAAGACCATGTTCTAACAGAACATCTACACTGATCAATTCTATCATAGGAGAAATTAAAAGTCTGATCCCACAAAACACAAAGCTTCCAAACTTCAAGACAAGTGGGGAAGCACATTGTGACAGACAGGGTCACCGCAAGGCTGAGCTGTATCTTAACTGCCCTGTACCTTCAATGCCTGTCTAAAAATGCCATGAAAGGTTATGCAGCTGCTGTCCCTTTATGAAAGGTTTTAAGTGATATGGTCTCTCACTACAAAAGGGACAAAACTGTGTAAAACTGGAGACATTTCCCGGAAGAAAGTTACATTATAAAACTGGGCTTGATAACAGCATAAAACTGAGCTTTTGTAACTTTATAGTACCTACGTCTGTACTGAATCCTATGCCAAATAAACACGACATCTGGACAGCTAGAGTTTGTAAAAAATGGTGTAAATTTGTGCCACTGAAACAAACCTGCAGCCACAGAGGGTTACCAAGACAGATGAAAATATCCTGGAAGTGGCTGTCAATAGGGGCACTCTATCACTTCCCACTGAGTGACAACTCTGAAGGGTCACTCAGCCAGTAGCACCTTTCATTCATTTCTGTGTCAATGACCACTGACTAATAAATACACATTCTGCTAAGTTACAAAAACACAGACCTTAAATAATTGCTGAGGCTGAAAAAAAGGAGAAGATTCTGCCCTATCACATACAAAAGGAGGAAATGTGGAAAATGGAAAGCAGAATTAGTCAGGAGCAGGGACCTTCTAGCTCACTTCATGTGGGTGGACATAGCTTTGTGAAAAATTAGGGTCCAGATCTCTCTGTACTGAGCATAAAATATTTTAGTGACAAGAAAAACGACCACATAGAAGTGCAAGCAAACATCCACTTAATCACTGCAGTTTTTTGATATGCAGGACAATACATTTCAAGGAAGACAAGTTCAGGATCTTGTCCAAACCAGTTCTACCCTTTGTTGGGTAAAAAGCTTTGTTTTAACATGCCCACTAGGCACCTGTCTAGCAAGAAACTTTTGAATCAAGGTCAACATAATGGCTGCAAGGCAAGACTTCCGGTTATAATGTAGCCAGGTTTTGTGTGGCAATAGTGTAGAACAACCAAACTCTCCTAGGTTACAAAAAGGTGTATACATACCCAAGGGACCACATGGCATTGAAGAGTCCAGACACCAGTCCCAGCAGACTAAGGCCTTCTTCAAATCCATTCTCACTGCAGAAAGACAGACCAGTTAAGAGCAGTACAACACATTATTGTATCTCAGTCTATAGCCTTTCCTTATGGAGTTTTTCCCCTCCTTTTAATTTGCACACTACATAACTAGTTAACAATCCAAAGTGCATAGAAGAATATCTGTTTACCCAGTACTTTCTTCCTTGCTGCCTCTCTGGAGGATTGCAGTGCTATTCCTCCTCTCTAATTTCTTCCGAGTAAGATCACTAACATCACAACATCACACTCATTCCCCATGTTTCATACGGCAAGCGTAAAACAGTGACAGCTGGCTTTTAAGAAGAAAATACCTTGTTCCAAAAGGAACATAGTAATAAGAGTAAATCAAGACCCTTCTAGGTCATTACTGCCAAGCCACAACACAGACCTTGTACTTTGAGCACGTATGACTCTTGTAGGTGCAGTTGTAAGAGCCAATACAGTCTGTAAAGGCAGTGAAAGCTGCTTGTTATTAGTAGTCCTCAGAAGATGAAATAATCTAATGTATATGAAATCACACACAGGTTCACCAGATGCTATAAGACCCAAAGTCTGATGGACTTCAGTGTGTTCATAGTACTGAGGTACACATTTACAAAGCTATATTGGGAGTATAATGACTGGGATATTCAGAAAAAACTAAGATAAGGGAGTAGTGGAAGCATTTAAGTGTTACTAGCTGCCTTTGTCTCAAAGAGGGGTAAAAAAACCACACTTCATATTCACCCCTTATGAGATACAGGATCCAAATCTCACTGAATTATTGATATGGGTCAGAATCACCTCACAGTGTGTGTGCGTGCCTGTGGGAAGGGCTGGGCCTAGACCTGCAGGTACAATGTAAGGCCTGCCTTATCACATAAAGCCTGCTGAGAGCACATGGCCTGCAGCTAAGAGGGCCAGGTCCCTGAGAGCACACGGCAGAGCCAGAAGGCTGCAGCCAACATGGCTGAGCCTATGCAGAGCACATGGCATCACTGAAGGCCCTGTAGCTGGGCTGTCAGTCAAGGCAGACCTGCCTGGTAGCCCATCGACACCATGCCCCTGGATCCTGAGACTGGCTATAGCACACCTCACTCTGGCCTGGAAGGCACTGACTGGATATCCTGCCTGGGAGAGAAAACTGAACTCTATAAATACATGAGACTCCTTGTGAGCTCGCTCTCTCTCTTCTCTCCTGCTGCCTGCACCATGTGAATTGTCGAATCTTGTTGGTAACCATTTTTCCTTTCCTCTCTCTCCTTCCTTCTTTCTTCTCTCTTTCTTTATGCTTTTCATTGGTCTTCTTTTACTCTTTTTCTTCTCTTGTGGGTAACTTAAAACAAATGAATTGTGGTTTACTAAAGCTGGTATATTGCTTATTTATAGGGGGTGTTTTCTGTTGAATGGGTCTGTGTGTTGGGTGTTTTAGTAAAATGCTTTTCTTCAGTTATATGTTACCCATTATATGTAAAACCCTTTGCCAAAATGTCTTATTTTTCTCGCCAAATTAAAAAAAATTTCTCTTAGACAAGTGTGCACGGTTCTTTCTCCAGACACAAATTCAAGGTTATAACGAACCAAAAGGCTTAAAAAGTCTTAAATAATATGTAACCACTCTGGGCAGCTTATGGCTTAAAATCCAGAGTGTAACACCCCTGAAAAATAGTTGCAGTTTCCTACTGCCAGTAGCATGAAAGATGGGTTGGACCAAGTTACTTACTATGCACATTGCAGTATCTCTGGAAACACTGGAATAGCACTCATGCCAATGGAAAAGCCAATCAAAACCAGCACTAGCACAAACATCCACAGCTGACTGAAAAAGAGGCATTTAAAAGAAGTTAGCTGCTTAAAACTCTTTTCAAAGGACTCCATTTGACTGAAGGCTGTTATGTCAGCACTCCATGACTGATCAGCAAACTATGTTTCTTGAAGCCAATACTAAGACTTGAAAAACACAGTTCTTTGCTTTAAAAAAGGACTTTTTAAAAGAATGTGAAGAACCTGTGCTCAAATTACATATTTTCTTATCAAATGGAGTTTTGTTGATAAGTTAAAAATCTTAAGTTGATTTAACGAGGAGCACATAGAGAAGAGGTCGACAGATGAGCTTAACTCAATAATGTATCTGTCCAAGCTCCAGACTTGGTTTGTTGCAGAAGTGAAGGATTTTGAAGCTAAAATTTTGTAGCCTAGTATATTATAAGCAAATAGACTTAGCTAAAGAATATTGAAGACATCACTAATTTCTTTTTCTCACCAGCTCAAACATGTCACTGCACCAGTTTCAATCTTCTTTAAAAATTAGAAACCTAGGAGGAATTCTACACATTAACAAGCCTATCATCTTTAACACAGTATCTGACCTAGGACAAAAAGACTGTACAGTTGTTTTGTAAATGTAGCAGAGTGTTTTGTTGTGAATTAACTCAGAGAGACATGGCAATACAGCATTCAGGTGTAATGGACATTGTCTTTACTTAGCTAGCTGAAGACAAAACTATAATCTGGCACTTTCCTCAGTAAGCTACACAAAGAGAGAAAAAATCATTATGAGCACAGTAACAGTAAAAAACAAAGGAAAAGGATCTATTTATGAAGCTGTAAAATCTCCATTTTCAGATGCTTTCACTGCTTTACACCCAGTCTTATGTTAGACATTAAAATAAAACTGTTTCATGGTCAGAGGTGCTAATCATAAACTTGAGGACATACATGACATGGTTGAAAACATCACATGAGGGGGCAGGCTCGAGAAGAGGCAGTTATTACCTTTCAATGTGCAACACTGGAGCAGGTCCTAACATGAAGAAGGACAGTGCTGTCAGTAAGCCTCCAGCTATCAGCAGCCACTTCCTGATGTACTGTGAAAGACAAGGTATGCAATTTAAAATTTGTGAATTTCTAATGTAGCTATTTTGTCTTCCCTAATATTCCTGCTCTAAATCTTCATCTGAAAAGTACAACTCCTGTAGAGACCATCATTACAGACAAAATGGGAATTCAAGTTTCTCTGCCAATTCCGAACACCATTAAGAAATAGTGAATCCATGTTTCCTCACCACCAATGCAATCACTGGCAGCAGCCGCTTAATGCAGAGATTTCTTTATGATACTGACCAATAGTGCTTCTCTGTTAGCAAAGTATTTTAGGTCTCACTCTTCTTTAATACAAGAAATATCATGTAGCATTGCTCCTAAAGGTTCCTTCCAACCCAGGCCATTCTATGATTCTGTGTAATTCTCATGTAGAAAGGCCATTATTACTTTGTGTCAGGAAAACACAGTGTCGGAAAACACAGTGTCAGAAAACTGTCACTGTGCTTTACGCACAGCATTCAAAGTGTAGGTTTGCTTGATCCATTTGCGGTGCCTCTCAACTAGACAGTTTTAGGTGTATCACTGTCAAAGTCTCTTTCTATGGTGTTGTCAAGAGCTAAAGGACTATAGCCAGCCAGTGTGCTGATCTAATTTGGATATTAAACTTTTTAAGAGATAAAATCAATACAGATAACCAGAACACCTTTAATCCTCTTCTCAAAAGCTAATACAATTAGATGTGGTCAAAAGCAGGGGTAACTGCAACATATTTTCCCAGTCTCTATTCCATATTGTCTGGAAACAGTCCACCAGAAAAGCTCAGCACACTTCAACTGCTTGTCCAATGTCCTTTACTGCATTGGACATTCCTAAATTACCTGGGCCTTGCAAAAGAGACCTTCCACTTGGCAGTAATGGGTTCATGTGCAAGATCTTGAAAGGCAGATCCCTTCACAGGACCAGACCTACATCCATTGCTTCAATATGGGAAGTCCTCCATCTTTACCTAACAGTACTCACTGGCAGTTTGTCGCTTACAAGTCCAAGGAGAGGAGAAGACAAGGAGTATGAGAGTGCCAAACCAAGGAACACCAAGCCCACATAACCAGATGGGAGCTTGAACTATGGAAAGGAATAAATAAAACAAAAAAACAAACCAAACCATATATGTTACATTCATCAGAGGACAATTCAAGAATTATATTTTAGTTCAAAATACTGAAATGCATGATTTTAAGCATTTTACTGATACCATACAGTTTTTCAAATATTTGAAGCCATCAACAGAGCTTCAGTTTCATTGCTTTCAGCAACACTTTTAAGCATGGAGTGGTAGAAACACCTGACACAACTGTACTCATATAAAGCCTAAATAATGTCAGGAGGAAACACTGTGCTATGCCCCCTACAACAGCATGCTGGTTTCTAACATTACTATCTGACACATTTGAAACAGACACTTCAGACACTGAAATTTAGATGGATTTAGTCTTCTCCAATCTTCAGTTTGATTTGCATTTAGAAAAGCATAATACTGTAGCCATCCACTGTTAATCAGCGCATCTTAAAAGTAAATAGTGCTATAAAACTCAACTCCAACTTTTCCACCAGAGGATGATTTTTATGAGAATGAATAAGAGTTCTTTTGCAAACACCCTGATGTTTACATTTTCCTAATGCAGAGACACATTTCTGTACCGAAACAAAATGCGTAATGAACCAAAAGCATGCCAGTCTCTCAAATGAGTGCCTTGGCTAACAGTTAGAAAGTATTCCAAGATGTTTCATGTGGCATTGACTAAATAAATATTCATTATTTCCTTGCCATATGCAAGCACATGATAATAACTCTAATTTAGTGGTTAGAACATCTGCCAAGAAGGCTGTAGCCCTTTCACAGCAAGTATCTGTTAGCACAGTAGAGAAGGAAAGCAGAAGAGCCACAGAAGCACACAATATTCTACAGTGGGATAATTACAGACCCCTCCTGGATAATGGAAGATGTACATTCACATCTCCACTGATGAAAGCAGTTAGCACCAAGTCCCCTTTACCCCAGATGAGTGGTCTAAGCACAGTACTAGACAGAAAAAAAGTAGGAGCACAACCACCTGTGAAATATTACCCCTTTTACAAAACCAGCTGCTGTGCCCTATTCAGAGAAGGTACTTTGCTGTTGAAAGCCAATTATGTGGAAAAAGCACATTTTTAAAGGCCTTACATTTCCTTGTTCTCAAAGTTACCAGGATCCAGCAGGATGAGATAGTGTCAATGGAAATTGACTTGTCAGTACCATGGAAATCAAGTTATTTGGAAATCATACTATTAACAGTTAATTAAAGCAGTGTAATTGGATAAAGCTCAATTTTGTTTTGGATATTTAAGCCACATGTATAACAGTTACTTACTGTTTAGCAACTCAAGAGTTCACTACATGTTAGCAGGACTTACCTTCTGTAGAATAAATAGAGACATTGTGGGATCCAAAAAGCCCAAACATGCACTTAGAGAAAATATAGTGAGACAGAGTACTAAGACTTTTGGTAGACGTATAAGCTTCCAAAAGGATTCCTTGCTAGGGATTGAATCTGTTTCAATAGAAAAGGGGGGAAAATTGCATTATCATAAGCTCATGACTGATCTTCTTGCTATAGAAAAGAAATCAGTATTTCTCTTTTTCTAGTCCTATTACTCCTGCTACATAACAAATGAAAGTCAATAGTAGATTACTATGCACTATACTATTGTTATAGTAAAAAACCTAATTTCGTAGATGAAGAAGAAAAGTGCACAATTTAGATTCCAACACTGCAAATCCCCAACTTGAAAAGAGCAAAAGCATGTACTACACCAATTACGTGTAAAACCAGTTACTTCTCTGCTAGTACTTACACAATGAAATTCTTATGGGTATGTCTCAACATGCACACATACATGAACAATTCACATCCAAACAAAGAAACATGGTTTAAAAGTAACATAAAAAGATTGTTATTTATCAGTTGAGATCTGCCAGATTTTTTAAGCAACTAGGTGTTTGGATCTCCTACATGTTCAATTTGTACTCCAGGAAACTTCTTTCAGATGTCATCGTTACATGGTACTTCTACGTCAGGCTTCTTTCCTGATGCTGTTTCTCCTTTAATAGTTGAATGGGGTCTCAAAATATACATTAGAACTAAAAGTTCAATCACTGGCATCCACCACCTCAGAGCTAATATTTATTTAACATCGTTTCAAACTGGCCGGTAATATCATGACTCCAGACAACTTCAGAGCTTGGGGAGGTCAGGGGGAAAGCCAGCAGTAGCAGCATATGGTTTATCACTGTAAGTTTCTTCTAAAAGCCAATATACGCAATTTTTTAAAGAAGCATTTTAAAGTTACATTTTCTTTTCTCTAGAAAAGAATAATGGAACTGTAACCTTGCAATTACAATCTTGTATGAAGACATCTTTAAGTTAGTTTTCTGTCCAAGCAGGACCATATAAAATTTAATCAAATTTATATGACCCCCAGCACTTCATTAAACATCTCATTTATTAACTTTAATAGTCTTTCATGTTAATCAGATCCTGTATAATTCGGTACAAATAACATCTTTTTTTCTCCCTGTAATTAGCTTCCCCATACACACTGTCAACTGCTCTTGTTTTAGGCAAAATGTATCTCCAGCTTTTCTTCAACTAGCTGCAAAGACAAACCTATATGAAGCAGATGCAAATGGACCTTTATGAGCCCTGAAGCTAAGAAGTCAAAAGAAAACAAAAGTACATCTCAGTTCACTTCCATAGAGTTCTTAGTGTTTGCAGAAATGGGGATGGGGAGTTGCATTTCAGGCCATCTGTACACATGCATTTAGGTTAGCATTAAAACATGAGCCTGATGAAGATGATCAGCTAATTCAACTGGAGCTTCACCCTCTGACTTGGATCAGACTCCAGAAAGCAATATGCTTTAAAGATACTTAAATACGTGAAAAGTAAAGGTGAGTGAAGGAGACAGGTAGAAGGATGCTTACCGTATTTTGGTAGTATGCACATATTCATAGGTACAAAAACCAACACTATACATCCCAGAGTAATGAAAGGGACCTCATAACCAAATGATTGATACAAAAAACCACCTAAAGGTGGGCCCAGCACCAGTCCGAGTCCTGAAAAAATTTCAAGGCTGCCCTAAAGGATGAAAAGGCAAGCAAAAAGCAAGTCAGTACGTGGAGCAAATATGATGCAATGATAAAAAGCAAGCCATCTGTCTGAGGGGCAGCACAACCTAGGTAAGCTAGTGAAAACTAAAATGACACTACATCACTAAGGACAACAGCTAGTAGTGACCTTCACAAGGCGGAACAGTGAAAGGGATTTCACAGTTATCTGTGTGACAGCCATGACCTCTTTTGGTTCACTACAGAGAACCACCTGAACTGCAGCATTCACCACCCTGCTGTTACCTAACAGATCCCAGTCCTGAGGCAAGGCAAATGCTCTAGTGGCAGAGAGCATCTGCAGGAAAACTTAAGCTAAATGAAATACCTCTCCCACCTGCCATTACACTCCAGCGTGAAGGGAAGGATCCAAACAAACCTATTCAGATGGGTCATTATCTCATGGGATGAAGTGCATGTGCCAAGTTAAAGTTTTCTCTTCATAACTGTTTTGATTCACTCCTTAGGGGTAGGAAATAATAATGAAATTGCAATGGGGAATTTCAGATTTGTTTTGGCTATAATTTAATAATCTGGTACCTTTTATTAAGATACTAATTTTTAAAAGGACAATAATACAATTATACTTACCTTGTGTTACAAGTCACCACTGTTAACATCTGCCTTAACACTTGATTAATCAACACTTAGACCACCAGTAACAGCTGGTGGTAATAATTGCTTACAGTTAAAGTTTTGATAACCTCTAGAACCCAGAAAGATAGTATAGGCACTCATCCTCATCTTTAATTTTACTGATACAAGTCAGAGTGGCTAAACGGCCCAAAACCAGGTACAGTCAGCAACAGCCAAGTTCTTTACCTAGACCAACATTTAGAAGTCATCTGCCTTCTTACAGAACTCTTCCTAGATTTTAAACAAAGGTAGCTGCCAAGCCAGGGCTGTGTAGCATTTCTAATTGGGGTCTTGAGATGACCTTCATCATCACATACCATTTTCAGCCACATATCACAGTTATTGTGCTGCCACAACAGAATTTCATTACTTTTTAATTCTGATTATAAGATGAATAGCTAAGTCCCTTTAAGTCAACATTACTTACCTATTTAAATTACATCTTAAAATTTGCAAACAGGAAACCTTAACCTTATTGACTGAATAAATCCAAAACATGATTACAATATATAAACTGCTTTCCAAAGAAAATGCTAGCTGATCACTGCTGATACAATTTAGTAGGGTTTTTTTTAGTTAGGAGGACATATTCTTATAGATATTTATTTATAAAAGTAATTATACAGTTTAACAACAGTTTTAATAAAAGCATCAACTTTTCCAATTTTATTTAATGCTCTTAAGTAAGTTCTCAACATTTGTTTACTCATTAAAATTTAATCTAGTTATTTCTGTCAGTCTATATTTGAACTGAAACCAGAATTTATTGAAAAAGAGAAAGTAGCATTTTATTAAATACAAAATTTTTCTTCCTAACACCATAAAAACCTAACTAAACAAGGGTAATATCTCAGGTTGAAATGAATCATTGATGAGCAGAAATACTCTCCTCCGGATTTCAAGAAGTTCTAGCTCTCATCTTCTCATACATAACTTTTATCAATAGACTAGAAAAATGAAGCCAAAATTGTTTCCAGTTTTGCATCTTTCAGGCATTTAAATCAACACTATTTGAATGAATTTATCAATTTTTGTAATCAATCCACATGGATCCTTACTATCCATTTAGAAGTAGTCACTAAAATCTGTATTAGCATTTTATTAGTCTGATTTCAACTGAAGAGGTAAATACTGACATCAGTGGTCAGCTGTCTCCAAAGCACAAGCAACTAATATATACTGCCTAATTTACATCTAATTGGAGTTATGCTAAAGTCTATACTTGTTCTAGGATTGTGATTCTAGATTGCAAACAAAGTACGTGGTGACTTCAAATAAACCTGCACATGAGACAACAGATTTTCTCCTCCTGGTTTTAGGCTGCCCACTGGCAATTTATCATATTGCAGGTACTCAGCTCTAACACTGCTTTTTGCACTTACCAGGACAGTAGCTATGTTAGTGGGAAACGCCTTTGCAAGGATTGAAAACGATGCTGTCATTGCTGCTGCAAAACCTATTGCATCAATTGCTCTTACTAAAAAGCAAAAACCAATGAACATTGGTCCACTTGGCACCTTGTCCAGCATTCTGAAAAAAAAAAAAATTCCCAACAGTAAATGGAGCTCTCTCAGGATGCAAGGAGTCATCTACTAAGGGCCCTGGAGCATCATTTCTTACTCATTAAAGGACACAGCTACAAGACAGTTAATGCTTTCTATTGCGACATATTTTTGAATCGCATCGCTGAAGTCATTGAAACTTTACCAACCTCTTTCTGGTAGCTTTCTCCGTTTCCTCTTGGTTTGGCAGTGGAAAAAACATGGAAAACCTAACTTGTGAAAAACTCCAATGCCATCTTCTGTTGTATTTCACAGCTTTTCCAATCACCTGTGCAAGGAGTCTGATGCAATGTGTTACAGCTACCTAAGAAAAGGTTCTTACCTTGCTAATAAAACATTTATTTTGCTAAAATGAGTGACTTAGCCTCTTCACCTGCCAGGTAAAGTTTCCCGTTTGCACTCAATATTTTCAGGAAAAAAAAATTAAAACGTTATGTAGAAATAGTTCCCTTTTTGCTGCATTTTGACAGGCTTCTCACTATTCATGAACTACAGTAGTTATTTAAACATATGAACCTTCCTCATCTGTTTTCAAAGTAGTAAACAGACTTTGAAACCTACTGAAAGGGAGAAGTGTTCATTCTGCTTTACAAGGGGAAGATAAAAACTAAAGATGTAAAAAGTTAGGTGACCTAACCAACACACAAAAGATCCCCAAGATTTTCTAGTTTTGTTTTGTGTTCATCTTTTCATATAGATAAAAATGATCAGAAGATAAATGCAACAAAAATTACTCACCCAAACAGAATGGTCACACATCCTGAAACAAATATCCCTGCCACAAACATGAATTTTGCTCCAATGTGTGTTAGCTGTAAATTAAGTACCATTTTTTACGTATTAGTATTTCAAGGAAAGATCAAAAATCTTCCAACGTAAGTTACTATTAAGAAATCAAACACTATGGGCACTTTATAGCACATGTAACTAAAAGATCTGGAGATACTGCTTCTGCTGGTGTACCTTTATGCAATACTGAACCTAAAAGTACTCTGAACGGTTAAGTGACTTAACCCAGTTTTCAGAATGGTAAGACAATGCTGCAATTAACTATGTCGCAGTAGCATGCTGCAGCTTCTGCAGAGCAGCAGGTTACAGCAGCAGTCCTCACTATAAACAAGCACAAAGTAATACATTCCTGCTTCAGCACCATCACTGAGGGAAGGCCAGCAATACCTGCCACATATACGGCTGAGGAGTCAATGGAAGCTGATTTTAAAGCAAATTTATCACTACTTTTAATACCACAAAGCTTTGGCATGGGAAGCACAGTAGCTTCAGGCCTCCCCATTCACTACCAGGGAAAGGACCCCACCTTCCTTCATTTCACACTCTGTCCAGTAGAGTGAAGGACGATGGGAGGTATGCCATAAAGCTAACTCACTCCCATAATAAAGTACATTTGAACTTCTAATTACATGCTGCAACTTCCCCTAAGGGCAGCAGGTACTTCAGACTCCTTTTTTTTCCAGACCTGGACAAAGTCCCTGCCTTTCAGCCATTATTACTAAAGCTCATATTTTGCTGAGTTTCATTATAGCCCTCAGGATCTCTGATTGCTCCACTGTCCATGTCTATTGATGCTCACTTCAGCTGTCTGCAGTGAGGATGGCACACTCGCTCTCTCCCCTGTAAAGTACTTAGTGAGGGGTTGTGCCATAGCTGAACGCTGTCACAGGCACCAAGACTTGGACTTACAAATGGCACTTGGGTGACACTTTGATGAGCCACCTCACCACCAGGGAAAAGCACTCACCATAGGGTCAGCAAAGAGGCTGCCCAGCCAAAGAGAGAAAAGATTTTGACTCTGCAGCAGCCTCAGCTTAGGGTATGATCCTGAGCAGCCCTAGCCAACAATGCATAGACAGCAGTGCTCCAGCACATAAACAAACAGTTACATAATTTATCTGTAATTTCTCCAACATGAGAAAAATCCTGAATCTGTGGGAAACTGGAGACATTTATCTCATATTACTACATAATGAAGTTGAAGGGGAAACTGAGTTAAGCAGCAGAGAAAAAAAAAAAGACAACATACCAGAAAAGAAGAAGGGGTATAGTTAACTAAAGAAAAAAAAACCAAAAACAAAACACCTTAACAATGTTGCCAAAGGCAAACAGAATATACAAGTGCAACAAATAAAACGGGGGATAGGAGAAAGGAGGTAACAGAAAGCAGAACTGACCATCAAATTACTCAGATTACAAAGCAAACAAAACAGTTAACCAGAGAAACAAAACAGCTACATGTCCATTGCCCTGCGCTACCTCAAGAACTACAGAAGAAGCACTGACAAGACTTAGATCAGATTCAGACTAACTGGCCAGACTCCAATTAGTGCATACATAAGCCTGCAGGAACACTACTGAAGAGACATCTTTTTCCTCAGCCTTAAAGAACTATCTTCATGTATCAACCTGTGTCAGAATAGAAATAAGTTACAGCTCCAATTATACTTACATAATTTCCCAAGATTAAAGAAGACAAGAAATTGAACAAAGCAAAACATCCAAAAATCAGGCCAACAATGGTGTTACTGGCACCTTTTTTTTCTGCCTGTAAAAAAAGATCACAACCACGTAAAGATGTAGTCAAATTCTTGAGGTGAAAAACATTCATGCTTTGTACATTTAATTTTTTTTAATTGTACATTAATTTTTTAATTAATGCAGTTAGAAAGCAATTTCCTTTTTCAAAGGCAGCAGGGGTTCATAAGGTAAAACAACACAGCAATTTAAAGACATATTGCACTTCTAATATGTAACTAAGAGAAAAACCATGTTCATTCCTCAGTGAATGGAAAAATGTGTTATTTGCTGAACAAGCGGAGAGACTTTATACAGGTGGCTTCAACTGGTGTGCAACGGTGCTAGCTACAAAATTTTGATCCTTTGCATGGTGAGAGGACAGTAAACAGAGATATCTGTTACCTTCACTGTAACATGCCTCCTTATAACAAGCACCAATTTCTTTACTTACTTCGGTCGGCAAAGTATATTTACTTGGGCACAAGAAGTACACAGGAATATTTAAAGCAAAAAACCATTTCTTTGTAAATACTTGGGAACTATTTGGTCATGAGAGAAATGAACTTCTGCTGTGAAGGCACCACAACCAATTTTTTCATCCTATATTTAAACATTGTATTCACATAAGCAGAGATTTTTTATTTTTTTTTCCCTAGAGTTGCTACATCAGGAAGTTAACACAGTTAAGGATCGCCCAGCCTGAGTTAACACAGAGGTAGATATAAATAAAGTCATTGAGTGGTTAGAGCACTGAAATGCAAGTCAGGACATTAGCAGAATTTAATCTCAGCTCTACGCAACACTGAGCAAAGAACTATTTCAAGTTCTCCAAGAATCCACCTTCTATCTCATATCATTACTTTGCTGTCACCTCTGTAGTCACAGGGAAGATTAGTCCATGGACAGGATCCAGGTCACCATCATACACACAAAAACTACACCAGCATCAGGCTATCACTGAGTTCCCCCAATTGAAAAGTCTTAACTCAGAGCTTACAGCCAACCATAAAGGTCCCATGGAGTTCAAGATACTTCTAAAAGTGTCGACAAGGAAAAAAAGTAGTGTAAAGAGTAGCTGACTAAGTTGTTTGTTTACCTCTGAAGGGAAAAAGGGTCCCAGGATTGAGTAGCATATCATTGAACTGAAGTTTATAGAAGCTGTCGCAGCCAGCGTAAATAGCTGTTCTCTGGTAAACCCTCTTGATTCCTCACCAAGTGCTTCTGACACATCACCATCTAGAAATACAAAACAAAACAACAACAAAGTATTACCTCCCTGACAGAGCGGAACAAATTACAAATCGGGTTGGAAAATTAAACGCCGCACAAAAAAACTTCTACCCTTCCCGCTCTGAGAATTAAATCAAGCCGTGCTGCTTAATTCCCTCGTGCAGGAGCGCGGACTTCGCCGTGCGGGCGAGACCCGCCCGCCGCGGTGCGGTGCGATCCCGTGCGGTGCGGGCCGGCCCCCGCCCGTCAGCCCACCCCGGAGGCGCCCGGCCCCACGCGGTGCGCGCTCTGCCCCACCGGCACAGCCGCGGAGCGCGGCACCGCGGCGTTCAGCCCCTGCAGGGACCTGCCCCGCTCCCCTGCGCTCCCGTTCCCTATCCCGTCCCGGCCGCAGCGTGCGGAGCCCGCGGGGCAGCAGCTGCCCCCCGGCCCGGCCGTGCGGGCGGACAAGCGCGGGGCGCCCCCGCCTCCCACCTGGGGGCCGCTCGCTGCCCGCGCCGTCCGCCGCCCGGCTGCCCATGGGGACGGAGCGCCCGCCTGCCGCAGCCACACCGTGGGGCACCTCCCGCCGCCCCGCCTGACAGCGGCCGCGGGCTGGCCCAGCACCGGAGCCAGCGGCAGCCCGGCCGCCGACACTGAGCATGCCCGGCCCGCGGGAGCGGCCCGCCCAGAGCGCGGCCGCAGCGGCGTGCGCCCGGCGGGGAGTGCCCGCCCGGGCCGGGACAGCGCCGGGCTTTGGGCAGAGTGAGAGTAACGTGCCGGCTGGCGGGGTATGCTGCACATCTGGCTCAGGGAAGTCACGATACGTTCTTAAGACTGGTAGACTAAGAAAGATCGCCGATCTAGAGACGAGACGTACACGGCCTCTAAGCAAGTTAGAGGATCCATAAAAGAGAAGTGCAGGAGCATAACGACAACGTTGTCACAAGAATTAATAGCTATAACTGGCCAGGAGTAAATTCAAGCTAGAGATGAGGGAGAGGTGGTATAATCAATGCACTTGACCCAAGGGAGAGGTGGTATAATCAATGCACTTGACCCGAGTTTCTATCCACAGGGCAGGAAAGTGAGGAGAGAGATGGGGTGTGAGCTCAGGATCTCTTCCAAATGTGGTAAAAGACAGACCACCTGTTGCTTGAAGAGAAAAAAACAGTAATTACATCTTAAAAGCGCTATTTTAACTAGGCCAGTACTCCATCTAGTCACCAGTTATAATATTAAGATGCATAAAAAAGACATTTCAGAGCAAATGTTGCCATGTACCTAACTTTAGAATCCCACAGCCCACATGACAGGAAAAAAGCAGAACTACTTTCTTATCACAAGATTAGGAAACCTAAAAGCTATTTAGCAGCCTGAAAGAACAACAGCAACATGTTCCTTTGCTGAAGCCTATTTGGACAATATATTTTGTGTGGCATATATTAATGGCTGTGAAGTTGAAAAATCCATAAGAACTACCTTCATCTTTTTCTGTCTTCCTCCAGAAAAAGACATAAACGTAAATCGTTCTCATATATATTACCTCTTGAGCAGCCTTACCCCTCTCTCAAAAAATAAAAAAAAAGGAAGAGGACTTGCAAGTCATCCTGAGTTCACGAAAGGACAATAACAAAAGCATGATATATGCAAAGTATGGCATGCAAATAATAGAAAATTGGAGAGAGATATTAAAATCGTGGCAAGGCAATAAAGCCTTAATTTTTGTGGCCAGAGATCAACAGTCAGTTCTGTTTAGGAGGTGAAATAGTTTTCACTCCAGCTACTTGCTCTTTCCAGTCTAGACTCTCACTCCACAGATTCCAACTATTTTCAAAACTCAGTCCTCTCATTAATAATTATGTATGAATAATCCAACAAAGCCTATAGAGTCAGATTTCCACAAAGTCAGTGTGTACAGTAGAAGACTACTGTGATGAACTGTGATCAGCATGGCTCCAATAATGAAACAGGGCTATGAACTTGCCATGTGTGCATGGAGTTTACTTATGCACTACTCATTATTGCCACAAGAAACTGGTTGAGTCACATCTGCAGCAACTTTAATGAAATGTATCTTTTCTTTCAGATCCCAAATCATATGTAGACTTCAAGGCTTGGAGTACTAGCTCTCTATAAATACTAGACATGCTTGTGTCCACAACATAAAAACATATTAAGAACAGTTGCTTTAAGGGTAGCTTCCTTCATGGACATCCAGGACATTCTGAAATGCGTAGCACATGTGGGAATACATATTCCTTGTACATATTCCTTGAAGAGATCTTAGAGATCTTTTGCATTGCAATCAAGAAAATACTTAGTGCGTATTTGCATCATGCTACTATTTTTTTTTTCAGAAGTCATAGCAGCTGAACACTGCTATTTGGAAATAGTTTAAAATTATTCTAACATGATGACATGATAACCACTAGTGCAAAATCTGTCTAAGGCAATGGAACCAACAAATTGTTTTGTTCAGTTATCATGAATCTTTCTTGATTTCAAATTGGTATTGAAATACCATAGCTTGTCCTCTCTCTGAGACTCCAGGACAGTCTCTCCATAATTTCTCTAAGTGCTTGAAACTTGACACAGACCACAGACATCTTTTTGTCCTCCTCAGTAACAGCATATGGTTGCCTGTTCTTTTCTGTGTGTGGAGGCACTTGGAAACCTCTGGGCTGGTTAGCAAGACTTCTGTGGATATAGGGCAAGAAATTTGGTAAAAATATCCTGGCCTCTCAGCTTTATAATGCAGAACCTTTTGTTGTTGTTGTTGTTGTTGTATGACCAGGAAATACCAGGAAATAAGTAAGATCATTGTTTAGGAAGAGTAAGGTGAAATGTGTACTGGTGTTATTTGCAAGAAGGCTTCTAGCTTGATGTTCCACAAGACTGAGAAATCACATCTTGTTCTGCAAGGAGAATGAGATAATTCTATCCCGTGACATTGGAAATTTAATAATAGCACATGCCTGTGCTTTGTATTTCTAGAAAAAGATGTCAGAGGGGAGTAAGTTTCACAAGGTTTGTTCTGAACTGAAATTCAGAATGTTTAGAGTTTAGCAGTGTCATAGACTTCTCTTGGGAGTCTACAATACCTGATACTTTCATCTGCCTCCCCGGCTGCCTCACTGTACTGTGCTGCTGTCTGTATGGCTCGGAACTCAGTTCCTGAGTCTCCACAGTTTACAATATGGGACTTAAATTATCACTGAAGTCTGACATTTTGAAGAAAATATGGGTTGTGGTTGTCAGGAGAAGGTAAAGGTTACCAGCAAGAGACAAGGAGAGAAATGGAGGAAGGAAAAAGGAGCAGGAAGAGGATGACTGAGACAGAGTGAACCATTATATCCTCATTGCAGTACTGGTCTTCCAAAAAAGTCCCCAAGTTCAGTTCCTATTTTGATCATAGTGGAAAAAAAGAGGAAAGCTGCCAGCCTGGATAGGGGGGATAGTCGGGGGAGTCAAGGAATTGAATGGAGAGGGCAGTAGCAATAACCAAAGAATTTTTTAAATATATGTGGAAAGATGGTGAGTCCAAATGGATCACCCAGAACAGCAGGCTGGAGAGAATCCAAATTCCTGAATGTCATGTGACAGCAGCTTGTCTTCGTCTCCCCAACTCCAAGTTTATGGACAGCATGTTACGCTGTTTATAATGAGGGAACTGAGTTCCCGTGCTGGGGCTGGCTGCTCAGAGAAACAGCAGATCAATGTCTGCACCAACACCACCTCAGCCCTCTAGAATCTAGACAGGCTCTTGCACTGCATCTGGCAGCTAGAAAGCACTGCTTGTTACCCCACTTACCCTCAAGTGCACTAAAAGTACTTTTAACACAGGACTGCAATCCTTGGCTTAAACATGTCATTCCCTCCCTGTAGCTGTATGCCAGCATTTAAACTGCAGGGTGATCAATGGACATAACTCTAAGGGAAAATGCAGAGCATAAGGAACTAGCTATTCCTTGTAGGAGTATGGACTGAAAAGTGGAGCAGGTGGAGTAGTGCCAATAAAGTGTAGAGCACCAACATGAATGCTGAGCTCACATTAACACACTGTGCAGCAGAGTGGACTTTTTCCATCAAGATCACACACTTCCATTAATTATTACACAGAATATACACTCCTACTATGCTGTACCAACATTTCCACACAGAGTTCAGTGCCAGTACAAACCTCCTCTCTACACTTTTAACTGTCTAACTTTTATCTCAGCACAGCTTTGTTTTCTTGCAACTGTGTTAGGAAAACTGTTTTTGAATATCCTGCTTCTAGAATATTAGATTATACTTTGTTATTATCACTTTTGCTGTAACATAAAATTGTTCATATGTGCATACTTCCATCTCCTGGACTGAATGTATATTGCACTTTCTGGCAATACTGATGTGTCTTATGGCTGGATATGGACTTCTTGTTATCCTTTGAAGACCCTTAGGGGAGATAATGGTGTATTGTTCCACTCGGTACAAAAACTACTCTGTAGATTAGCTGTCTTTGGGGATTTTCAAGGGCACAAGAAGATTAAGTGATAGGTGGATATAGGGAAAATGGTTCCGAGCACTATAAATGAAACTACATGTTCCCATTTCTTGTGGAGGAAGGAGGGAAGAAGTCATGGACAAATGTCCCACAGGAGCTGCTAAATTAGAATACCTGTGTTGTGACTCCAGTGGTTACAAACTCACTGGTGAGTTACAACTGGGATTGCAGTTCAGAGTTTCAAACAACATCCGGCAGTAGTTGGAGGTGCCAGTTGCACCTCAGAGGCTGTCAGTGTGAGAAGTGGGCAGTGCCGTTCCTGCTCAGTAGCTCAGAGTGGAGGGAGATAGGAGCCCCCACACTACACTTCTGTCTCCCTTACTTTTTCAGAGGTTAGCCTCTGCCCTTTCCAGATCTCAGTAATATAAAAGGTAAGTAGGTGCCTGCCTCAGAGTTGACATTAGCTATGTCTCACAGCTGGAGGCTGTGAGTGCTGCAGCTACAGCCCCCAGCAAGGCCTTTCCCCCAGGCAGGTTCCAAAAGGTTGTGCTGCCCAAGCTGGGGGTATGTGGGGCAGGTATGAGCTAGCTGAGGAGTTTCCATTTTCCATCTCTGTCCTCCCCTGCCCTGACCTGCTCCAGTGGGTTGCTTTGTGTACACTGTCTCTTCCCTGCCTGGATTTAGCCTACATCCTGCTGCTTGGCAAAACCAGGAATATCAAAGAAGAACATATTGTGGAAAAGGTGACTGACAACGATGGTGACAAATGTGTTTGATTGCTTTAGCCACAAATCATGGCTGTCAATATTTGTTATCTATTTCTCTTATATTTTGCCACTATGTATTTTTTACAAAGGTAGAGCAACCAACAGTAATGTTGTCTGGTCAGAAGCAGCTGGTATGAACAAAGCCCCGTGTCAGACTGACAGCACCCGAGCAGGGAACATGTTTGCAATGCAGTGGCCGTGCTGTGCTTGCCATCAGCTGGATCACCCGGGCATGTGTGAGCCCCTGACAGCAATGGGGATTCACAGTCACATTTGTGAGGCTTCTGAGCTGCAGCTCAGTGCTGTGCCCCGCTGACAGAGAATTAAGGCCTGTTCCCCATGATCCCCA